CTATTTTGTAATCTAAAAAAACATTACAATGTTTGGGCTAGTTGTTTTTATATATTGCTCTAGCTGTACAGATGAGCTTATAAATGAATTACCAAAGTCTGTAGACATCACAATCTGAATGCCACCATCCACTTTACGAAATAGAGTCTAAATTTTAATTGTATTGAACAATAGAAAGGCTCTTTAAAAAAGAATCCAAACTGCTTCACGATGAAAATATCAGCGCAGTTGTAATTACTCGCTGCGGTTTGTTTTTTTATTACAAGATCTATGGGCGTCAAAACTTCATCGGTCGTAAGCTCATGGTAAGTACGCATTTCTATAGCAAATCCCTACTTGCCAGTGGTATTGAACACCGCCATAGTCCCTATCGCTAGATACAATTGCACCGGGTATCTTATCCGTTGGGCCATGAAGATTTTAAGTGATTTCTTTGTGTGGTACCTGTACACTATACATTGATTGTTTGAACTTAAGTCTTGAGATGGGTGGTGACATTTACGTTACATATCTATGGGTAACAGTAGTCACATAACACCAGACCACTATCTGTAGACCTACATTACTGAAAAACAATCTTCTTAAACATGATAATATGTTTTTGTACAAAAATTAACTCAAACTAAACCCGATTCGTTTACAACGTCATCGCTTAAAACTCAAATGAATGTATTTAATGCGACGCTCAAATTCGAATAAGTCATTGACAACATGAACAATGCAACGACTGATCGATGAAACGTCGCAGGACTCGTGTGTTAAGGATCAGCGCCGAGAAGAATTTATATCTTGTCACGCGGACACACTGATTACTCTTAAAATAATATGTTCGTATCTGAGAACGAGCGTCTTTGAGACTATTTAAATGCTCCATGTTTTTGTTCCAATTTCAACTGCTTTATGACGAAGCACATCCATGGGATAAATAAAATCCGGAATTTCGTTTGTCTCCACCTAAGGTACATGGACATCCATAATTTACTATTGACGGCTCGATTTTATAATTTACAAAATTCCGTCAAGTCACTTGATAAGATTCGAAGATTATCATATTTGCCACAGATCGCTGTGTTCCTTTTTTTAATCTAATTATCTTATCAAGTATATCAGTTAAGCAACAAATAAACGAATGATCAATTTTGTCAAATTTTGAACGATCACCTATTCTGTTTTTTATATCCAAAATTTTATGTTTCACATTAAGAACACAAACAATGCAAGATTAACATCAAAAGTATTCAAACTATGGTCGCTATGTAGACAAACACGAAATTCCAAGAAATCCAATCACATTATCGATATAATCGAGTCATTTATGGGTCGCGCTTACAATACCGCAGATAATAGCAGCCTCGGCAGGCACGATGACCAGCTTCTATTGTATTGATCGTGACGAATCATTTCGCTACGACTCGATTACTTGGTTCACGACCAAGCTTTTGCTTACTCGGTATTGGTGAAACTACTTTTAAAGTACAACCTTTTTTTTTCCTACCTAAGCTGAGAGCCTTCGGAGGCTATATCAGCGTAACCTTAACTAGTAGGTGAGCTCACGGGGCTCAAACTTGACGACGTTTCGGCGAGAAACTCAGTGGGCTATGTCTGAGGGTTAATTTATTCGTCAAGCCCTTCGTCGCAAGCGACGGGTTCGACGAGAACGGTGACCGGTGCTTGAGGTACCTAGAAGCACCGTTAGTGGATCGGGAGGATCCGATATGACGTGTTTGGGGCGACGTCGAATGCTTTCCATTCTGTCCGCAAGATCAGGAATACAGTTACCGGCGGCCACGATGAGAGGGTTCTCATGTCGTGCCGCTTTATCGAAGTGGAGTACAAGCAAAAGATGCTCTGACTGATCGACTATAAATTTTAGTGACAAAAAAGTCTGCGCCTAAAGACATTGAGCTGTTTTTCTCTGTTGAATAATAGGACACACAAATAATGTTAAACAAAGTATATACAAAAATTCAATACGAACCCCATGGTAATATACTCCAATTCAATGATACTATATCAATAGGCAATCAAGAATCTAGATTATTTCATAATATTTACTATCTTGGAGTTTGGTTGTGATAAGGTGTATGTAAGCAAAACGCCAGTCGGCTTAAAACTGAGCCATAATTTATTCTGAAAGTGAATCAATCAACTTGCATTATGTAACATATATTTTAAATGAGAAATTAATTTATTACTCTACGTAATTATTGGAATGATATGGTAATGATATTAGTTATTATTAATAGTTAGCTGACCCGGCAGACTTCGTAGTGCCTCAATCGATAAATAAAAGACCTAAACTTTTGTATAAAATAAACTTAAAAAAAACAAAAGGAATCCGTCCGACGGGGGACACATCAAAGGAAAATTTTTTTTTTGTTTTTTATAGTTCCGAGCATTTTCGTATTTATTCACCTTTTAAACTTTCTCTGGACTTCCACGAATAATTCAAGACCAAAATTAGCCAAATCAGTTCAGCCGTTCTCGAGTTTTAACGAGACTAACGAACAGCAATTCAGTTTTATACTTATTTAGATAGATAGAAGATATAAAAATGTAAATCGCAATTGTTTAATAACTTTTCATACTAAACTAATTTTAGGTGAGAAAATATAAATTTATCTAAATATTTTAGAAAAACTTAGAACTAAATCGCTTAAGCAGACAATCATACTCGTACATTTGTTAATGAGCTTGATAGATAAAGTGTTAGTTATAACATTAGTCCCCTAACAAATAATGAGTTTTACAGACACAGGACTTTATATAAGAACTAGCGACCCGCACCGGCTCCGCTCGGGTCTTTAGCAAAAATTTCAAGGATGTTTAACGTTGTTTTATTTTTTAAAATAAAAGAACACTTATTGCGGCATAACTATAATAGTTAGACATATGCTGTCGCGACACTTTTTGTAAATTATAATCTGTCCTACAAAATCGTAGTACATTATTTTATTCTATAATCAATAGTTTTCGCAGGGCATGCGATGTACAGAATATTTTAGGTAATTTTTTTACATCTTATTGGAGTTTTAGTAATGATCTCTAATTAAAAAAAAAAAAAGATTATAGCCTATGTCTTTCAGGAATAGTGCATCTTCCAAGCAGTGATATAATTTTTCAAAACGGTTCAGTAGTTTCGGAGCCTATTCAATACAAACAAACAAACAAATCTTTCCTCTTTATAATATTTGTATAGATAACAAATGCTTACGAAAACGTAGTGTACAAACAGATGTCCATATCAATCAATAGAAGTATGTTTCTGACAGAATTATATATAAATCAACAATTGTATATTATATACATATACAAAACCTAACATTTTCAATGTTTTCCATTTATGTTCTGAATTCTAGAAAATTCAGCTGTATGAGGAATTTCGTGGATTTAAAAAGCATTAGAAATGTATCGCAAATAGGTAATTGAATTTAACAATAGCGTTTACATTATAAAAACAAATAAAGTGGACTCATAATGTGAAGTCTATCTAAAGCTTGGTCTTCCAAAATCTTAAGCGATTGAGATCCTTCTTATCTAGGCTAGACTTAGATAGTCTAAAGTGGGTTGTGATGTAAGTAGGACCGCAGTGAAATAAAAGTTTTCGATCTATTTACTTGAGAGCTATTTTCGCGTTCAAGATCTTAAAGAAGATAAGAAAGAAATTTAAAAAACAGGCTATTATCAAGTAATATTTTGTGTTTTAATAGAATTTCAAAATATATTAGAACTATTTTTAATAGTAACGTAGATAATCATTATTATACTTTTTAATAGTACTTACTAATCTGGAAACACTTTGCTACGTTTTTAGTTTTTCTAACACTATTTAAAGTCAAATAAGTTTCCTGATAATGGGTCATTTAAATAAATGAACAAAATTATTAGAGTATTCAAATCTATTTTAAAACCAGTTTTAAGATGGACTCGTTCTAAAGCCACAGCTTTACATCTCCATTAGCTTATCCCAGAGCCTAATAGTAGCCAGAAAAAGATCTCATGAAATGATACTAACTGCGGATAAACGAAATAATAGGAAGAACTGCTCTGAGAATGAGTAATGGGGTTAGTATAAATGTATTTAATATTGTACGCTGACACTAAAATCTATGTTATCATTTTATTTCATAGGCACTGGCTTGGCTATGCCCCTGGCATTCGACGTTCATAAGCAACGGTAACCGCTTACCCTCAATTGGACCGTATGCTCGTCTGCCAACAAGAGCAATAACAAGACGTGTGGTGTCGTGAGACACCGGATAGGAACGAAGTTCCTTATTAAGAAAATATTGTTTTTTAGTTCTATTCAAGGTATAAAGTAAATAAAACTAGAGGTTTCGCAACAACCCACGGTCATTCGGTAACGTGCGAACTTATTGTGGTACACTTCATCCACGGTTGTTTGCATAAGAGTTAGTGTATTGCGCAAACGAATGTTCTGAGATTATGGTCAATTAATGATAAAAAAATATGTTATTTTTTGTACATTATTACAAAGTTAAGTCGTACACTGTGTGCATTACTAATAAATATCTTACGTTACGGACGTTTTTTCCTGGTACCCCTTCGCATCGTCCCATAAGGAACTTCGTTCCAAAAATTTTATCATTAAAATCATATCCGTGAGATCAATGGCCTCTCAATCAGGCGGGCTGCTTTAAAGCGGTTCGCACTGCTACCTTTTTTTTGTTTTCCTACCTATGCTGATTGCCTTGAGTATATCAGCGTTACCCTAGCGTGTATGTGAACTCTCGGGGCTCAAGTCAGGAGATGTTGCTAGCACTGGCTCTAACAAGAGCTGTACTTCGCAGAATCTACCACTGGATCGGAAACGCGACCCACTGAGAAGATCCGGCGAGAAACTCAGTGGACTGTATATATCGCGAGCGACGGGTTCGACCAGAACGGTGACCGGTGCTTGAGGTATCTAAAACGCCGTTAGTAGATCAGGAGGATCCGAAATGAGCTGTTTAGGGCTACGTCGACTAGTTGGCACTGACCTGTTCCGGCGTGTCAGTTTCGAACGCGTGGCAGTAGTGATCTGCAGGCTCTGAGCGCGGCTGGCGAGCCACCAGCGCGAACAACGCCCGGGAGGACTCACACGTTGCATACGAGATACGACGCAACGCATGTGACATGCGCACACTCTGTCGACAAGTTAAAAAAAATTTAAATTAGTCTACTTTAATTATTAGTCGTACTCTTGTTGAGCGATGCACCGGTGTTCGAAACTCAGGCGGCTACCAATTTTTCTAATGAAATACGTACTTAACAAATGTTCACGATTGACTTCCACGGTGAAGGAATAACATCGTGTAATAAAAATCAAACCGCAAAGTTATAATTTGCGTTATTACTGGTGGTAGGACCTCTTCTGAGTCCGCGCGGATAGGTACCACCACCCTGCCTATTTCTGCGGTGAAGCAGTAATGCGATTCGGTTTGAAGGGTGGGACAGCCGTTGTAACTATACTGAGACCTTAGAACTTATATCTCAAGGTGGGTGGCGCATTTACGTTGTAGATGTCTACGGGCTTCAGTAACCACTTAACACCAGGTGGGCTGTGAGCTCGTCCACCCATCTAAGTAATAAAAAATAAAAATAAAAAAATTGTTTTGCTAATCAATTCAGCTTTGATGAAAGATAATGTGACTGTCATTCCAATGTGGCCTCAACCAAGACGTCTTTAGCGATATTGACTGTGGTTAATTTGTTTCAAACGCTTTTTAATTAATACATAATCAATCCAATACAGACAATCCACCGTCTCCTGATGTATGTATATTCTACAGGGTGTAGAAAGTGGTGACGACCAGGAAGTACTAGAACTTAGTGGAAATGAATAACGATTCGGTAACCGGAGCACCAATACATCTTTTAGGTCAGATCATATTTTTAATTTTGATTGATCAAATCGATTATTTATTACTATCGAGTATTCGATATATCAGTTAAATTAAAATTAAGCTACATTATAAGCTAAGTACATTTTTTTAATAGCTCTGATTTTTTTTTTCGTTTTTCCTTTTTATTCCACTACTAGCGACCCGCCCTCGCTTCGCTTCGGAAACTGTAATTTGTTATTGATTTCTCCACTATTTAATGGATGTTATTATACATAGAAACCTTCCTCTTCAATAACTCTATTTACAAGTCGTCGTGGCCTAAAGGATAAGACGTCCGGTGCATTCGTATGTAGCGATGCACCGGTGTTCGAATCCCGCAGGCGGGTACCAATTTTTCTAATGAAATACGTACTTAACAAATGTTTACGATTGACTTCCACGGTGAAGGAATAACATCGTGCAATCAAAGTCAAACCCGCAAAATTATAATTTGCGTAATTACTGGTGGTAGGACCTCTTGTGAGTCCGCACGGGTAGGTACCACCGCCCCGCCTATTTCTGCCGTGAAGCAGTAATGCGTTTCGGTTTGAAGGGTGGGGCAGCCGTTGTGACTATACTGAGACCTTAAAACTATATCTCAAGGTGTGTGGCGCATTTACGTTGTAGATGTCTATGGGCTCCAGTAACCACTTAACACCAGGTGGGCTGTGAGCTCGTCCACACATCTATGCAATAAAAAAAAAATAAGAAAAATAAAAAAATCTATTAAAAAAAACCGCATCAAAATCAGTTGCGTAGTTTTAAAGATTTAAGCATACATGGGGACAGATATAGGGACAGAGAAAGTGACTTTATTTTATACTATGTAGTGATGTGGTGTCGGTACTATACAGCATGTTCACTTTTTCCATTCTTTAATACGTCATTTCTACACTCACTTACTTCTCTCTAATATGTTCTTTCACACAGTCCATCCATGGCTTTTTATCGTATTATTAGATATCACAATATTATCTAGCAAATTTCTCAGAATATTTTTAATTATCCACATTTACCTTGTCTTCTGGGTCGCATACTTTGACTCCCGAGAGCGCAACAACCACGAGTACGGGAACCGCACGCCCAGACTCCTGAAACAACAAATCCATTTTCATTGCATATACGGGTCAACAAACTCAAAGACTTCCTGGTGTTGAGTGACTACCGAAGCCCACCACTCAACTTGAGACTTGAGGCCTTTGCCGCGATTGTATAGTAATAACGCTAATTATGTTTTTGCGTATTTTTGTTGTATTTTACAGTGTGCTTTTAGTGCGAGTTTTTTAACGTTCTCGATAGCGTAAAAGTTAACTCAAATTTGTGTGGAGTTGGAACGTCTGCCTACCTTTGCCGCTAGGAGCGCTGTTCCAACTACATACATACAGATTTGAGTTAACTTTTACGCTTTCGAGAACGTTAAGAACTCGCGGTAAGCACACAGAGACATAATCGCATCGCTCGATTCAAATACACCAGCCGCCTTATTCTTTAGACCACAACGACATAAAAAAAAAGATGTGTGGTGTCGTGGGACACCGGATAGGAACGAAGTTCCGTATTATAAAAATATTAATTTTAAGTTCTATTCGAGGTATAAAGAAAATAAAACTGGAGGTTTCGCAACAACCCACGGTCATTCGGTAGCGTGCGAACTTATTGTGGTACACTTCATTCACGATTGTTTGCATAAGAGTTAGTATATTACGCAAGCGAACGCTCTGAGATCGTGGTCAATGAATGATAAAAAAATGTGTTATTTTTTGTACGTTATTATTATTATCATATTTTTTTTTTTATTGCTTAGATGGGTGGACGAGCTTACAGCCCACCTGATGTTAAGTGGTTACTGGAGCCCATAGACATCTACAACGTAAATGCGCCACCCACCTTGAGATATAAGTTGTAAGGTCTCAGTATAGTTACAACGGCTACCCCACCCTTCGAACCGAAACGCATTACTGCTTCACGGCAGAAATAGGCAGGGCGGTGGTACCTACCCGCGCGGACTCACAACAGGTCCTACCACCAGTAATTACGCAAATTATAATTTTGCGGGTTTCACTTTTATTACACGATGTTATTCCTTCACCGTGGAAGTCAATCGTGAACATTTGTTGAGTACTTATTTCATTAGAAAAATTGGTACCCGCCTGCGGGATTCGAACACCGGTGCATCGCTTCAACACGTATGCACCGAACGTCTTATCTTTTAGGCCACGACGACTTCCTTTATTACAAAGTTATTCCATTACAAAGTTAAGTCGTATATGTGTACATTACTAATAAAAATCTTACGTTACGGACGTTTTTTCCCGGTTAGAGTACCCCTCCGCATCGTCCCATAAGGAACTTCGTTCCAAAACATATTGATCAATTGAAATAGAGAGATGCAGATATTATGCTTATGAAATTTGACGCATTTGGGAAAATTTTGTAATATTATGAAAATTCGTGAAGACAGAGAACAACGAATACTTTTGAAATGAGGATGAATTATAAAAAAAAACTGCCATTAATTCAGACGCATCTGCCGTTTTGAATTTACCCCAGTTTTTACGGCGAGGTCCCAGGAATTAATTAGCAGAGAGGTAAGTCAGGGACGGACGCTAAAAATGTGCGGGTAACATCGGGCAGGTGTAGAATATGGCTGCCCAACAAACCTGAACAAAAGCAAGTCAAAAATTACAAATCAAATTAACATAATTCTGTTAAGGGTTCAAGTTCAAGTTTTTTTTTTATTTTTTTTTATTGCTCTTGTAGGCAGACGAGCATACGGCCCACCTGATGGTGAGTGGTTACCGTCGCCCATGGACTTCAGCAATGCCAGGGGCAGAGCCAAGCCGCTGCCTACCAAGTTCTTGATAAGCTTCCAACTGTGAGCGCTTGTGAACATGCTTCACACTACGTAATATTAAGCGTTTAGAACAAATGGAAGCATAATCGTGTGCAGACTCTAAATCTTAAAAGAGATGTAATAAGAAATGTAAAAAAGATTGTAACTACACTTGAGACCTTAGAACTTACATCTCAAGGTTGGTGGCGCATTTACGTTGTGGATATTTATGAGCTCCAGTAGCCACTTAACATCAGGTGGGCTGTGAGATCGTCCACCCATCTAAGCAATAAATAAAAAAAAAGATGCGATATCGCTTGCTTATATCTTTCATTGACTTTCTAAGAAATATATCCTTCCTACTATTCCTCTTTATTTCATTATCATCTTTGTCTCTACATCACCTTATGAACCATTGCCTTATTAGAGCAATCAATATCTTCCATGCATGACTAATTATATTGTTATACATTCACCCAAATTGTACCGCTACAGGCGTCCTGCATTAAGAACAAAAGAATTATTTTCAAATCAAAATGCGTTTTTTTAATAACCCTAAAAACAATTTAAAATATTCATTCATTTTTTCCTCAGTCGAAAGCATTGTGAGAAAGACGTAAGACCGTAAAAGTCACCCTGAAGAGCTATAGGTACCGAGGACTGAGTTAGGAGCGTAGCGATAACGCTGTTCATATTGACGCTCATATACAGACTCAAAATACATAGAAATCCCTGAGCCTAAATATAAATAAGTGCTATTTTTGACGATTAAAAAAATATAACTCTCTCAAAAAACTCCCAATAAAATAAAAACATCGTAAAGTAAAAATCAAATTAGGATTATTGATTGGCACATTTAATGAGTATTTTGACAGTATTGTACCACTATCTTGTCTATTTATGGTGTGAAGTCATGCGATCTGTGGTATAGCTACTACGTATTATAATAACATTTAGATTTGATCTCTTGTCTGAAAGCGAAGAGCATACGAGTTAAGTTTCTTTTATTTTTATTGCATAGATGGATGGACGAGCTCACAGCCCACCTGATGTTAAGTGGTTACCGGAACCCATAAACATCTACAACGTAAATGCGCCACCCACCTCGAGATATAAGTTCTAAGGTCTCAGTATAGTTACAACGGCTGCGCCACCCTTCAAACCGAAACGCATTACTGCTTCACGGAAGAAATAGGCAAAGCGGTGGTACCTACCCATGCTTAGGTAATTGATTAATGCAATTTGGCTAATAATGTAATAAATTAATTAAGGCAATATAAAACATGAACAAATAAACGCTGTTACGTCAATGTTCCCGGTCACAGTCCTCGTCGAACCTGTCGCTTGCGACGAAGGGCTCGACGAGTGAATTAACTCATAGATACAGCCCACTGAGTTTCTCGCCGGATCTTCTCAGTGGATCGAGTTTCCGATCCAGTGGTAGATTCTGGGAAGCACTGCTCTTGCTAGGGCCAGTCTTAGCAACACACCCGGTTTGAGCCCCGTGAGCTCACCTACACGTCAAGGAAAAGAGGATAGAGCAAGGCTATCAGCATAGGCAGGAAAAAAAACCGTCAATGTGACACGAAATCAACTTCCGCTTCCACACAATGTCCTAGGCCTAGGAAAACAAAATGTCGGATGTGACAGAGCGACCGGAGGCGTTCCGGAGCCGGAGTCGCTTTCATTAGGCATTTTAATTAAGAGTACGCAGATCCTCACTAAGGCCAATAACGACCATCACGTTCTACCTGCGCCCTTTTAGAAGACTGTAACCCACTGGTTACGTCGAACAGGAAAATTGAATTGCCGAATATACTTTTTTATGAACTTTTAAATCGTCAGCTTTTTTTTGTTTGAAATATTACTAAGAAAGTAAAATTTATCATCGAACCGAAAGATCCTTCATGGATTTATTAGTAATAATTGCATAATGGTTCGTTTGAGATTGTTATCATACTTTTGAATTGAATCTTAATAAAAAAATAAAAAAATATTTTTATGAAAAAATAGTAAATAAAAGTATTTTTAATACGCTTTTATTAGCTTCAGAGTTATGTATGTTAGTATGTATGTATTTTTTTATTGCCTTTATAGGCAGACGAGTATACGGCCCACCTGATGGTAAGTGGTCACCGTCGCTCATGGACGTCAGCAATGCCAGGGGCAGTGCCAAGCCGCTGCCTACCATAACAGAATCTTTGAACATGATTTTGACCCCATTCAAAACGTCGGATTAACTCGAAATTTGGTATACTTATTTGGGACCGATGACAATTCAATATTTAACAAAAATTAAATTCAACTAAAAAATGAAAAATAAATAATAGTTTAAAAAAACAAAAAAATACGCTTTTATAGAAAACCTCACCCTACTCTTTTTTTTACAACAAAATCATTTTTTCTTACACTATTTTTAATTCAAATTTATTAAGATTTATTTTCAATTTTTTAGTGGGAGTTTCTATAAAAGCCTATTTTTTTGTTTTTTTAAACTATTATTAATTCTTATTTTGATTGGTCTAAAAATGAGAGACTTGTCAACTTCGTGGTTTTATAAATAATTAATATAGGCAATAAATACCAAGTAGACGTGTGTTTGGATACTAGGTGTTTCTTTCTTGCTCCGAAGAAAATTTTGGAAAGACCTATCGAGCCGAGTGCCGTTGAAACGCTTAAAGGGGAATCACTGTTCTCCTCGCCATTCTCTCGTAAAACCCATTATCATTAAGACCCTCTGATTTTATTTTACTTTACATAAAAAAATCAATTAACCTATTAATGATAAAATCCAAATCGATTCCTATATAAATAGAGTTCTCATACGCAACGTGTTTTGAGTTTATTTGGAACATAAACATGAAAACTCAAAATGACCCCCACTAAGTCGTAGCCACTAATTACGAAGCGAACAAGAATATAACCAGTTGACATATTCTTAGGGGTTTTATCAAACATATTATTATGGTATACTACTTTTTTCCCCTACCTAGCTTTTTACTGGTAGCCTAAGAACCTATTCCAGCTACGCCCGGATGGGTAGGTGAGCTTACGGGCTCAACCTGAGAGAATTTGCTAACACTAGCCCTAGCAAGAGAGCATGAGTAGTGCTTCGCATAATCTGCTACCAGATCGGTTTCGCGACCCACTAAGAAGATCCGACAAGAAACTTTAAATTGGGAAGAAATTTATCTGGTTAAGATCTTATCATCCCCTAACGAATAAGACTCCCAGTATACTTGTATTGGGCGATGCGAA